GCTGCATTTTTGGGGTCTATTGATTCTGCATGTGACTACATTTGGACCATAGATGCTCATTGAGTGCAATTGTCATTAGTGTTGAGGTATTTGTATAACCTGTGGGTGATTGAATTGTGCCTCTTGTTCATTGGGTTGGTTTTAAAAATTGTTATTGCTTTGAATTTTCTGTTTCCATTATTTGTTGGCATTTGTAGCCCCTTGTGATTAGAGTGACATCTAGAGACCATGGTGAGGCCTTGATCTGCTTCTAGGTCTAGGACACCTAGACACTCACAGTCTCTCCCACCCCAACGGCAGATGACTGGCTCCAACTCCGGAACACAGTTGAGAGATTGGAGACTCGAGTGACCCGCATTGACATCAACTTGCACAACATGGCGCAACATTTGGCAGCTTTTATACACCATGAGTGTCTTGTTCCTCAGTTCCCGCCTGTTCCACTCCTATTTTGACGACTTCAGGGAAGTACCGTTGCTCTTTTGCTTACTTTTGTTGTTAAATTATCACATTGAAGGCAATGTATGATTTAGGTGTGGGGGGAATCAGTTGGGGTGCTAGTATTTTTTTGCTTTTAGTTTCTAGAGGCTTTTCCTTTATTTTTAGTTTGTTTTTGTCTATCTTTCATTTATTTTCTTTTCTTTTTCTTTCTAGTGATCAGTTTTGTATGAATACCAAGTTTTGATTTTGGATTATTGTCTCTAATTATGCTATTGCCAAGTTTTAGTAATAAAAAGGTATCAAGTTGATGTGATTGAGTTCAGGAACATCTCTTTGGTGAATATCAATAATTACTTAATTTTTTCAATTTTTGGTTAACTTTTCTAGGCATAGGGAATGATTGTTGGCATTTTTCATATGAATTGGTCCAGTTATTAATTTTAGTTCTCCATGTTTGGAAATTTGAGGCTGACTGCTGTTATTCTTGTGTTATTTTTAGATATCGTGCTATATGGTTGTAAATAAGAGTTGACTGTACTCCACTAGTGGTTACTATTGAGTAACCGGGGATTTTCACCTAAAGTGTCGATTCTCGCGTCAAAAGGTAGTAGTTACTATGAGTGCGTGGTCCGTAGCGATTGGAGCTGAGTAACCGGGCTCCTCCATCTGTCAAATCTTAGAGTTCGCGTTAAAAGATTCTAAGGGCTATAGACTAAGTTTTTTGTTACTCAGAAAAAAAAATAAAAATAAAAACAAAAAGAAAAAAAGAAAAAGAAGTAAAGTAAAGATTGTGTTAGTATGTGAATAAGTCAACTTGCCGGTTTGTGATCTTAATGTCGAGATTTTGGTTAATAGTTGGACCATTTGCTGATAAATGTGAGCAATCATTCATTTTTCTTAGATTAGTTTACTTTAAATTAGAGGAGTTGGTGGTTAAGAGGCTAACCGAGGTGATTTTTCTTTGATCTTAACCTGTGATGCTTGATATATGTTTTTCTGGATATCTTGGCAATACGGTAGTTGGAGCGATAGCCATTATCAAAATTTTGGTATTCAAATGTTGTTCTCATGCTTTGAGGGCAAGCATGATTCATGTGTGGAGGGAATTGATAGGGTGTTAATTGTTGGGCATTTTATTGTTAATTTCCCTTTTATCCTTGCCAAATATTGTTTTAATTATTAATATTTATTTATAATTTGGTATTGGACTCAATTTCAAGGAGTGGAAGAGGAAACTAAAAAAAAATGAGGGACTTTCTAGAAATAATGGAGACTTCAAACAAGCCACAAACTTGGCCCACATGGTGATACGGACGGATTGTATTTCTTTTGGCTGATTGGGAGTGTCTTGAGTACTAAGAGTCCTAAGAACAATGAAAGACGAGAGAAAGAGGAAACACCAAGAGGCCTTGCCTTTTGTACTTTGATTTTGAATCTGCGGCGGGGACCACGGGAAAGCATTGAGTCATTTTTAGCTTTGGGAGGAAAGAAACGTAGGAAGTTTTGGCAGTTACTTGTTGCTAATTCGTGGGGACCACTGGAGATAGTATTAGGCATCTTTCTTTTGGCTTTAAAAAGGGAACGAACGTGCAGGAGCTCTTATCACTAGTTTTAGAATAGTTTTAGTTCAGTTTTATTTTTTCTTTTCTTTTCCCTTTGTCAGGCACATGCCAACTGTTCGACAATATTCCCCAACGGGAAAAATATCCCTTATTCCTTACTTTCTAGTGAAAAACTTGATGCCTTTACAGTCAATTAATTTGCGCGGATATTTAATTATGCGGCGTGGGTAAGCCCTTCATCTAGTTGAAGGCCAACTTGAAGGCGCGGTTCCAAATATCTGTGAGATCGAATTAATTTTATTTATTTCTTTTATTCATTGGTATTTGTACGTTTCCTGATTTAATTGTGTATGCTTGTTATGTTATTTGAATGTCAAGGGCCCGATATTCGAATTAACCTAATGAACTAATACCAAATTAATTAATTGAATCCGTAATTGTTCAATTGATTAATACCAGTGGCGACTGGCGTGATTGATTTCATGTTAGGGAAACGTATGATCTAATTTAAATAAATTCTCGTAACGTGTTTGATGGTTAGGGTTGGGTTTTTCTAATTATTAATGCAATCAAGTAATTAAATCCTACGGTCGTACCTAGGGTTATTTCTTAGTTAGAGAAATAATTAACGGTCATATCTTAACTATTGAGAAATTAAGGAAAGGCTGGTTGTTCATCACGTATATGACAACTATAACCAATCTATTAATGAGTAATTAAATTATCTTTGCATCGATGATCAGTTGAATGGACCGTGTCTGAAAAGTTGCACCTTTGGTTAGAGTCATATTGGTTATTGATTAATTTTTGTTTATTTCTATTAGTTAGTTAATTAGTAATTTTATATTTTCCAAAAATCCCTCATGTACTGAACTGTAGAAGGGACGAATTATTCCCAATCCCTATGGATTCGACCCTGCTCACCGCTATATACAAAATTTGTATTTTTCTTGCGTAGGTAATTATTATTGCACAGGCTCGACACCCTGTCAAGCAAATTGGCAGAAGATTGGACCCCTGAGTTAGGAATGGAGTTCAACAGTGAAGAGGATGCGTACAAGTTTTATAACAAGTATGCCTTTAAAATGGGTTTTAGTGTACGTAAAAACTATCTGAATAAAGACAAAGATGGCGTGACCACGTCTAAGAGATATAGTTGTTGCAAGGAAGGTGTGAAGCGCAAGTATGAATGTGATATGATGCCAAAGAGGACACGAGCGCCGACGAAAACAGGGTGTGGAGCTAAAATGATTATCATGTTGTTTAAAGGGACAATAAAGTACCGTGTGCATGACCTTGTCTTAGAGCATAACCATTAGTTGCACATTGCTCAATGTGCGCACATGATACCATCACAAAGAAAAGTGAGTGTAGCTCAAGGATTCCAAACTGAAATAAGAGAGAATGCTGGGTTTTCATTGAAACAGATCCATGAACTTATGGGAAAGGAGGCAGGTGGAATGGGTAATGTGAGATATATTCGGGATGATCTTAAACGATATCTTCGAACGAGACGGGAAAGGAGTTTAAAATATGAAGAAACAGGTAGCATGCTGAATTATTTTCAAGAGCAAACACTCGAGAATCCATCCTTTTTTTCATGCCGTACAGCTGGACTATGAAGAACAGATAACAAATATCTTTTGGACTGATGTAGGAATGTTAATTGACTACAACTTTTTTGGAGACGTAGTCAAATTCGACACAAACTACAAAACAAATAAAGAATATCGGCCACTTGGAGTATTTGTGAGTTTTAACCAATATAGGCAAATTGTGATATTCGGTACTGCATTTATGTATGATGAGACGATAGATTCTTTCAAATGGATGTTTGGTACATTTTTAGAAACAATATGCGAAAAGCGTCCAAGTACCATACTAACCGACCAAGATCACACCATGACAGCCGCTCTTTCACTTGTCATGCCCTAAACGTTTTACGGTCTATGTACGTTTCACATAAGACGTAATTTTATGAAATATCTTGGCAATCACTAAAATAAAAGTAGTGACCTTCCATACATGTTTGGTGCCTGCATGTATGAGATTCAAGAAGTGGAACAATTCAATAGGGTATGGGAGGTGATGGTGAAAAAACACAATCTTGAAAATAATAAATGGCTTTCCGGGCTGTATCGAATTCGTGATAAGTGGGCAAGGTGTATGATGGAAGAAAAATGGACCGCGGGAATGTGAAGCACCCAACTTAGCGAAAACCTAAATGCAACAATTAAAAATCATTTGAAACTGGATCACGACCTTGTGCAGTTCTTTAGATATTTCAATCGGGTGGTTGATGATAAGAGACATAATGAACTCATTGCAGAATATGAAATAAGGCAAAAGCTCCCCATGGTTGGGTTGAGGCAAACACCTGTGCTTATGCATGCTGCAGAGACGTATTCACCAATTGTATTTGTTGCATTACAAGTAGTTTCCACGTACTTACGCTTTATTTTTTAAAAAATACATTTCGTTTAGGGTTATTAATGACAATAAATGGTGTTTTCGGTCCAAAAGGTAGTACCGATTTGCAAGGATACTGATTTTGTCAAAAGTTTCGACTTAAAGGATGCATCTTAATGTCCAAAAATATGAATTTGTCATATTTTATTGAAAATGTCAACGTAAAATTCCATCTACACCTGTATGCGCCTTTTAGTGACTATTACGAGCTATGTACATGATAATTTAATCTAACAATGCACGTGCACTAACTTTATATGTGCTCTGTGTAATAAATTGTGAACTACGAAAGTTATTCTTGGGTCCAAACGTGACTTGTATCCATACTGGGTCCAAATTCATATGTGTTTTGTTGTATGGACCCCATACTTTTTTGTGTTCTCTGTTGTAACTTTATATGTGCGCTTTGTACCAAATATTGAACTATTTGAGCTATTCTTTGGTCCAAACTACGAAAGCTATTCTTCGGTCCCCAATTTATGGAGAGACATGTATGGACCCTATACTGCAATGTGTTCGTCATCCAAATTCATATAAGCTCTGTTGTAACTTATGTACATATGATGACTGTTAATTTAAAAGTTTCAATAATCTACTATAGGGTTAATATAGTCCTTCTCAATGTACCCCAAAACATTGTCTACATCAATCTAAAAGCTACATTACACACATAACAATGTATAAATGGGAGAAGATCCAATTTTGTCCAACTACAGTCATATTTGACTTCATGAAATTCATGCATTACCAACATTCAACTGCGCCCGTTTTGGTACTTGCAGGTTTGCAAAGCTGTCCGGAAACTTAGAGTTCTTTGCTGAGGTACACAATCAAGCTGTGTATAGCACTCGATACTTGCCAACATTTTCCTTTCCAATTTAAAAATAATAAGTAATTTCGAAAGCAAAGGCAACAACTATAAACCACAATTTCAGTTATAAACTAGGAAAAAAAGGAGGGCAATTGTAATACCTTTGTAAGCCGAACAGCCAACCTTCCACTCCAATGCTCTATGAATGTTATGATGAAGACACCACTGTCACATCTGTTCATATTGTCTTCTCATTAGTCAGTTGGAGTATATGTGTTGAAATAAAATATTTGCAACTCTAACAATAATGATGTGAGAAATCAAACTATTTACATTATATTTGGTCAGTGATGAGGGGCATCGGCAACCAAATATGCGAAACTGAAGAAGTTAATTTCCTTGTCAAACTTTGTCGCCACGACTAACCCTAGAGCACGTTTCTGTAGCGCACTAAAGATTATGTAAAACAGATTAGAAGCACTAATGTGTCATCCTCTTCTCTTATAATGCGTTTACGTGACAGTCCAACATACTAGTCGATTCAGTACACTTATGTCTTTGCTCTTTGCTTGATTGCTATTAGGGTCTAGTAGGTGCACTTCTCACTGTGAGACATCAAAACTGTAGACAAATCAATACCCCTCTGTGCATACAGACACAAGTATCTGAAACGAATAAGGTATAAAAAAGGTAACACATTTGAATTATATGTAACCTGAGTCTACAATTTTGGATATTCAACATCTAATAAAAAGCCTTGGATTAAAGGTGGTAATTGCATACCCAATCACAATTCGCGGGATCAACCCCCGTATTGTTATTGCAAACTTTGAATAACTTTTTCAGCTTAGCAGATAAGCTAGCATCAGGTAGCTTGTCAAATTTTCTCATTTAAAATTTCTTTCTGCAACCAATAACATGGATGAGTGGGAGTAGTGTAGAAGACGTCAGTAATAGTGTGTTGGTTTGTAATACCAATTTAGATATGATGCTGAAAAAATTTAGCATATAATAAGATGTAGTCCAAATTTCAAACTCACAACTGCTAGAGGTTCAACGATGTCGCGTTCAAGCTTTTTACTTTTGGCAGTTTTTCCACCCCAATTCATAAGACGGGTAAACATATCAATCACCTAATCAATTTCTAATGGTTTCCAAAACATGTAATTGACTGTTATAATTGCGTTTACGTATCACTAATCCAATCAATAAATTGATAATCAAACTTTTTGAATAAACGTAATAAACTACTGACCCGATTCAACATATGCATGCCATTTTTGAGTGACTTCAAGTCAAGTCGTGTCAACGAGAATTGAAATATTTGAATAAGTATGTTCCTATCAAATCCGGGCCACAATTGAACAATTTACTAATAATTAATACTCGTACTCCAAAAAACGAACATGTAATAATGAAATCAATTCTTATCCATTTTTATACTGTTTTCTTGGGCCATCTTACAATGAACCACATGCGTACTTATCGAAATGAATGGCTCACAATGTCGAATTAATAGTTTTATTAAGAATCTTATTTGGGATTTTTGTCGGGGTCCAATGCATATGCAGCCACATTTTTAACGTACAACCTTACTATCACAGGTGCTGGTAGAATGTACTCCGCCGGCCGCAGAATGGTGCTCTTCTTTATTGCACGTGTAGACTTGTGATTTATCTCAATGTTAGGGCCTCCTGAAAAGTAAAGAACATGCATTTCATATGCAATTTATTTGTTATTATGTAACAAATTGTAAAATATTTTGTAACAATCTTCAAGCATAGTGTAACTAACAGTCTAGAAACACCAATCAATTAATTTTCAAACACACTGTAACTGTCCCAATAACTATTTTATTTTCAAACACACCATCATTTACCGCAATAACTATTTTGTAACAACCTACAAATGCACTGTAACATGCAATCATCTAACATACGATTTTGTATTAATTTTCACACTCTAACTTCCCAATGAAGTATTTTGTAACAGTTTTCAATAACATTCAACTTCTCAATAACTATTTTGTAACAACTTACAAACACTTCGTAACAAACAGTCTTCAAATATGGAGTCTTGTATTAATTTTCAAATTATACCTTCCCAAATAACTGTTTTGTAACAGTTTTCGAACATACTGTAACTTTTCAATAACTATTTTGTAACAACCTACAAACACTTCGTAACCAACAGACTTCAAATATGGAGTTTTGTATTAATTTTTAAACTGCAACTCCCTATTTTGTAACAGTCAACGAACACACTATAACTTCCCAATAACTATTTTGTAACAACCTACAAACACTTCGTAACTAACAGTTTTCAAATATGAAATTTTGTATTAATTTTCAAACTGTAACTTTCCAAATAACTATTTTGTAACAGTTTTTGAACACACTGTAACTTTCAAATAACTATTTTCTAACAACCTACAAACACTTTGTAACTAACAGTTTTCATGTATGAAGTTTTGTATTAATTTTTAATCTGTAACTTCCCAAATAATTTTTTTCGTAACAATCTTTAAACATACTGTGATTTCCCAATAACTATTTTATAACAATCTTCAAACACGATGTAACTAACAGTTTGTCAAACACACTGTAACTTTCCAATTGACTTAATATGACATTAGGCTTATCTGAATGTGGCTGGAATAAAGTCATACTTAATTATTATACTCAATTCAGTTTGCTAGGTCCGTTTTATATGCAGCTGACATTGGTGTGTTATAACAGTATGCTTACAAGTTTTCGATGATGACTAGCGAGAATTCAGACCCATATAGATAGCAACATGAGGGTATAAATAGAGTTACCGTGTGTGTATATAGCTGTTACAATCATGTTACTTGAATTAGAACCTTATAAATAATATAACTGTACCAACCTTTCCGTTTTCGACCATATGACCGCAACCTACGTGGTGTATCTGGCTCATGTAGATGTGACGTCGATGCACTGGCGTTCAAAGGTGGTTGCACCGTTGATTGACCTTCTTCGGCAGGTTCTATGACATTTGACCTATATTGCTCCTGCTCTTACTCTTGAAGGTGTATAATGCTTCCTTGCTCAATTGTTGTCATAGTAACCCCTTGTTGCAATCCCTGACTGATGTTATCGGGCACAACTAATGAGGTAGGAATTGAATTCTCCATACCCATTATATCTTCATTCAACTCTGGGTTTGGGATGGGTTCAATATTTGTCCTCGTATTAGTATCGTTTTTTTCACTCTGCGCTGCATTATGCTCGTTTTCTTCAGACCCTTCCGCATCAAATTCATTAGCATCATCATCCTCATCGTTGCCCCTTTCTTCGGCAGATTGAAATTCTAGCTCTTCTTCGGTATCAGGACTCTTGTGCATTGTATAGTCCTCATGTATAGGTTTTTTTCCTTTGTCTAGTGCTTCAGGCCCAGAAATGGAAGCTTTTGCTCTTGGATGAGAAGCGAGCATTTCTGCAATCTTTAATATCATTCGTTGGCTACTAACAGCAATGTTATACAGCTCATTTAGCTTAGCCTGCAGTTACATGACGACATTATCAATTCATAAATGACCCACATGCTCTCAAGAATGGAATACAATACAGGCATACACAATAGTATATTTAAGTGAAAGTTCTTAATTTAACTTTTGTACTGCTGGCATAGGTTCTATAACTTTAAATTCTATGGTAATAAATAAAATGGTCACCACGAACATTGAATTTTTATTTATTTATAACATGATTATTCAAAAGATCACTAAATTTATGTATTTACAATCATCTGACTTAATTCAAGATAACTTATTTGTTCAATATACTATTGGAATTGGTTTTATATATTAACATGTAATTGTATGTAGAATGAAGCTAATAGGCCTATCAATGACCCATAATGTTGACAATAATATGCAGTAATTACGTCAAATCAAACAATAAATTTCATTAACTATGGAACAGACCCACTTACACTGATATCGGCATGCTCGCTATTCATCAGCATCCCTACCAAATCGGGGGATAGTTCAGTACTCTGGGCACCATATTCATTCTCTTTCGAATCATCTCGTTCAACCTTTAACATCAAATTAAACCAACCTTTTCAATAGCAAAGCCACGCAATACATACATCAATACTTTTTATATGAAATGAGGTAAATAACAAATAATATGTCACCAGTTTTCCTTTTCCATAAGTTCCAAGATTCTTAATCTCCAATGCATCCTTTCAGAGATCAGAGCATCTGTCCATGCCTTTGCTCGTGGAGTAGTCCTTGGCACTTTATGCTTTAGTATTTGCACCCGATCAAGATAATGAATCTGCAATACAATAGAGCAATTAATTCAACTATAGATAAACTTGACTCCACCTGAACATCGTTGTAAACGCACTCATTTGAGCATAATCTAATCAATCCATCACACTGAATTCGACAGAACGTGAAAATACAGACAATAGCTTACATACACGCAAAACTGATTACTCTATGGTGTATTATCTAACCATTAAAGCATACTTCAATCATGACTACAACTACCTAATCTTACCAGCAGAACGAAGATACAACCGCCAACATATTGATGCTGCTTTTCACTTTTCTTTTACACCTCTAGCACTTTATTGCATAGTACGATCCTCACATACTCAGCCCAGTTCAATGTAGCTACCCTATCAACCAATTGCGTACAGGTCCAAAGTTTTATTTTGTGCTCGGCTCTAGTGCTTGGAGCTAGTAGACATCTACAAGAAAATGCCACAAATAGTAGTATGAATACTTTCCCTGCATTCATGGCTACCAACTCATTTGGCAGCTCTTTCCATTTGTATGTCCTGCGACTTGGTTCGGTTCCCCCAACCTTGGTTGTATCGGTGTCTTCAACTGGAACGGGACCTTCGTTTGGGACCCCCAGGATTAAACTAATATTCTTTGATATTAAAGGCAGCACACTATCTCCATGTACATTCAAACTGCTCAATGTCGGATTAAAGTTATCAACAAGCCAGGTAGCTATGCCACTAGAAATCCGGTGACACTGTATGTTTCACAGCCCTCCAAACCCTATGTCTCTAATCTGCTGCTTCTTAGTTTCATTGATTCGTGAAACTAAGCTTGACATTTGCTTTGGTTAGCAACGGATAGTGTACTTCTGATTCTACACCATTTTTTAGATGCATGCATTAGAAAAATATACAGTTTCATTAAGTATTTAACGAATCATGACGTGTATTAACCTTGATGTGAACCCGTGCTTTTCGCACTATCGGCTCTCCTAGACGTTTCATTTCTTTCTCGTACTCTTCTTTCTCTTTCAAATACTCCTTCTTTCGCATCCTTAATTCTTCCTCACTCAACTTATTATATGCTGCCCGGACAATGTCATTGTACTGCATTGAATAAACAAAGTCAAAAGACACGTTAAACTAAACACAGAATAATTGCTCGCTTCACTATTTTTTCCTTAGAATGATTGTAGTGTTTATTTTGCTAGGACAGTATACCTCTATCAATTTAACACCCTTCGCCGAAACCGTGCGTTGATACTCTTTCCTGTCCACATTCAAAACTCCAAAGTTATTTGTGCTATTTAGTAGTATTATTTTTTCCTCAAATTCAATAATCTTACCTGAATTTCATCCATGGATTCAATGGTGGGACTGGTTCTGTTATCTCGCTTATTCTCGCTGTAACCATTTCTTCCTCTCCACCTAAACGATCATTCATTTTATTGCTTCTTTTCCTTCCCATCCGGCCCCTGAATAATCAACATTGTAATGCATTATAATGATAACAAATCTAACTTGTCACGACCATACACAAACACTGGCCACTTACCTATTCGATGAATTGGGTGGTGCCCTGTGTTCTGTATCACCACTTGTTTCGGTGAGTTCTTCTCTTTCTGCTTCCTGAAGTGTGCTTCCTGCTCGCGTTCTTGCCATGTAAACTAATGTTTTTAACAAACAAATTGCACTTCAGTTCCAAAATTTTATTTCTAGCTACAGACATAACATATCATGAAGTAATGTTAAACATAATATATGAGCATCAAATATTAGTCACACTAGTTATAGTACAACTTGAAGCATTTTTTTCACACTGAATAAGTCATTTTTCACAGTTTGTTATTTATTCCAACTATCATTAATCTACATAATCTATTGTTCTACCTATCAGATTGTACTTAGAATCAACTTCTTCTTCTACTTATCATGCTATTGTACAATACCAATGCAGTAGAAATAGGGGGCAACCAAATTTATAATATCTTCATGGAATTTTACAGATCAGTTTTATTACTGTAACTTCTGACCTACTATGTGTAACAACTATCAAAAATGATGTCCAACCACAACAATTGCTGCACTAGTAATCTTTCTTTTCACAATTTGTTTGCCTCAATACCAAAGTTTCTGGTTAATTATGCCTCATTTAGTCATTTTATAATCTATTCTCCTACTCATCAAGTTCGATGCAATCACCTTCTCCTTTATGTATCACCCTATTCAACAATATGAATTAAGTAACAAGCCCGTGGAACAATTTCAAAGTATGTTCAACCAATTTTACAGAACACTTCTACTACTGTCACTACTGAATAACTACGTGGAACAATTATCCAACATGATGTGCACGTACAATAAATAGCAAGATTCGTAACTGTTTTTCCACACTGACTATGCCACACTTCACGATTTGTTATTCCTTCCGCCTCACATTGTCAACTTATAACCTACTTTCATACTTATTCACTTCCAATCTAAAAACTTGTCTCTCTTTATGCAACTAAACCAATAATCATACATCAATGTAGTATAAAATATGAGACGCACAACTGAGTACAAAACATTTGAATTCTGTTATTTCTCTGTACCTGTTAAACCACAACATGTAACAATTATCGAACACTGTGTTCATGCACACAAACTAATACAATAAACATACACCAATAAAGACCCAAATATGACATCCCAATTTCAAACTAACATTTCTATTCTGTTTCTGTCCTGTTCCTGTTAATCCACAACATGCATTAGTTCTCCATGTTTTATGTTTATGCATAACAACGAATGTAACAGTGTATGATACACTCAACACATTGTACTATCTACTTACCACATACTAATTATAATCTACACCTATTTTTTACACCTACGAACTCCCAAACCCATGCACACATTTTCTCAAGCAGTTGTGCCGCAAGATTTCCCCCTCCTTTCCCACTCTCCTGTTTCGATGCTCAAAGACTAACACATAATACTCCTATTACGCTGTACTTATTAATTACTATACACAAAATTGTGAAATAGTGATATCCCTCTAAGCAATCATCATACTGTAGGCCAATAACATCCACAAGTAAGGTCCTTCCACTTTTTTATCAAATTACATGCATAGTACTATATCATCCTAGGACTCAAAATTGTTTTACCTGACTGATTTGCGGCCGTTCACTACTCCGGATCCCACGATCTTCCACTCTTCAAATTTGGGTTCACCTTTCTTTTTCTTTTAATAAACCCAAATCACCAAAAATTTGTCCACAGCTCCACCACTTCTTGCTTCTCCTTGTTGTGATTTTCCTTCAATAATGCGCACCTTCACAACTTTTTGCAATGTCACGTTGGAGAGTGTTGGCCAATTTCCTCTTTTTCTCTGTTATTTCTCCTCTCGTAGCTTTTTGCAAGCAGTTGTAAATTTCAGCAATTGCTCTCGTTTGGTTTGGAAGGGAGTCTAAGTGCGACTCTTCATTTTCAATCTTTCGTTTTGGGCGGGAGGATGCTTACTAAAGATGCTGATCTTCCGTAAATTGTCGTTACCCCAAATACGTCTATAAAATTTTTTTTTCACTTCTCACTTCCTAAAACGACGTCGTTTTGGGATTGCTGAAAGCCTTCTGACATGGTTCATTTCTCGGCTTTCGTTTCTGTTTGTGAGATGACCGCTTGGGAATAGTCAATCTGATGACCATTCCCACCCCAAATCCAGATGACTACATATGTACTTCTGTAAACAATGGTTTTGAGAAGCGTTACATTGGTTTTGGCGACATACACTAGTTTTTCTAGTTTGTCTAATTTGATGTCGCTCTACTTTTACGACATATTTCCAACCCAAAAAGAGGATAATTACTGGTTGACACGCATCTCTTTGAATTTATTGCCAAAATAACTCTTTTTCCAAAACATATCCTCAAAGTAATCTAATTTTAAAATTTATTACCTTTATAATTCTTTTTTTTTTTTGTCACTTAAGCTGCATATGTATCAAGATGGAAATAGAAACACCCTTCATTTCTCTTTCCATCTAATATCTTCTTCATTTTCTCTCTAAGCCTTCCCGCATTTTTTCTTTCTACATCTTGCTCTTGTTAAACGTAATTATAAGAAACTAATATTTATATTAATAGCATCTAAAAAATATTCTTCTCTAGTTGATAATTTCAAGACAAATGAAAATTATTTTCTTATCTTTTCGAGGAGTAGGAAGGATAGTATAAACAAATATGATAGTCTTGAAATTTTTGTAATAGCTTACAATTTCATTGCAATTTTTGTATTAATTTTTTTTTAAAACATATGCAATAGGTTTGATATATTTAGAAAATGGCAATCAGGATAACTAGATGACAACAATAATATCATTATGGGAATAAAATTTGAAAGTGAATCATATCAGGAATATTTTTTAGCAAGAATGTTATTTTGGCAAAAAAACTCCATCTCTTCACTTGTTACTTTTAAATCAACTGAAATATATAACAAGAAACTGAATTTCTGTTCAAATACTTCCACCCAAAAACTAACACACTATTTGTTCCTCAATCTAATTTAATTTTGTTTTTAGTGCCACTCGTACCTTCACTTCACCATCACATATTCGGAAAACTTTTACGAGCTTTATGGAAGTTGGAAGAAATGAGAGAACATTTTAAAACTTTCGAATCATTAACATGAAAGAGTCTGAAATCCAAACAACAAAATGAAGGTTTCACTACTTTTTAAACTTTTGGCGATACAGCAGAAATGAGGAAAATTTCACACATTCGTATAATCGTCCCTCAACTGGAAATTCAGCTTTGCTATGATTAATCAGAGCAAAACTACCATAACCATATAGACAAGGTCGAAAACCGATCGAGAAGGATGGCTAATGGAGTAACATTTTGGCCTCTCTAACTGAAGGAAGTAAAGGCCTTTGCACATTCATGAAATAGGAGCAAAAATTTGAACATCCTCCACCATCCCTTCTCCCCCCTACCAAACACCACCCACAAAAACCATCCAATAAGCAAAACGATTTCAGCCCCTTCCCCCCCCCCCCCCCCCCCCGGGGTTTTCTTTACACTTAGTTTCTATCTTTCGATCTCCTCTGAGTGCCATCTTATAGGAGGATCAGGTGGCTAACATTCAAGATTAATATAATGTGATACTGAGTGTCATAAACAAAAATTTTCTAGCTGTAATTGCTGACAACAATTGGATCTGTAAAAGGGGAAGGGGGTGAAGATTACCATTTCCTTTGAGAAACCAGCTCTCTAAGAGCTCGAAGTGGGTAAAGGAGGTTAGAATGTTGCATCTTCTGTTCCTGTAGTCGCCACCTTCGACCTATGCAATGAACTGTTCTTTATTGAAAAATAAAACTTGCAAAACTTGGTAATCCAGTAAATTGCAGTGGTGGTTATTGTGGAACAAGTGAATCATCCTTTTTCTCCATTGGGCTCTCTGATGCAAAAGCATGGGTTTCTTCTCTCCTCTACGCCTGGTCTGGACCACCTGGGAGTCGGTCATAGCCATCATGGTGCTTAGTTTCTCCTTCAACAGGGATGAACTTTAGAACAACTGCAATCGGCAAACTCACTGCCCCGATTAAAATGCTTAGTAACCATAGCTGCCAGCTCAGTGGAATTGTGCTTGCAAAGGTCCCCAGGAATTCAACTATAATCACTTGGAATACAACCGTGGCGACAATTATAACAAGAAATATCCAACTACCAAACATTCCTTGGAAAACGTTGATCTTCTCCATATCTCGGCTGTTTATTTCATTAAAGACCTAAAAGAACAAAGAAAAAAAAATGTATGGGTGTTAGCTGAGGATGAAGAGTTAGCTCACAATCATTTGAAAACAAGTTTTTGACACCAAGTTCTGCCACATTCCTGGCCCGGAAAGAAATAAGTTCTCCTTGCATTTGTACACATTCATAAACTACTTTAAAAACGATAAGGACTGCAGATGCACATTAAAGCAAAATTTTGCACAAACTCATAGAAAAGGTTAACTGAATACCTGGCAGAACACAAAGGTGTTGAAGATAAAAGTATTAAGAATTCTTGTAGCATCTGAACCTTCGAGTCCTAAGATTTGCTTCCCCGCAAAATTGAATGAGAGCAGGACAGCCAACTGATAAATACTCTGCCCAGCAATATTCCTCCACATGGTCTTGGTAATGAAACCAACATCCCTTCCCACGGGAGGTCTGTTCATTAGTCCTTCATGGGGTGGTTCTGTTGCCAGCGCCAGTGCCCCTAAAGTATCCATTATCAGGTTGACCCAGAGCAATTGCACAGCAGTAAGAGGAGCAGACCCTGATATACACCGAAAAAGGGTATACTGATCATGGTACAAGGGCATGAGATAAAAATTATCACCTACTTAGAATATATCAAGGAAAGAGAGAGGAAAACCTGAGACGCAAGCAGAAAGAAAGTTGATCATTAGAGCAACAATATTAACAGTTAATTGAAACTGCACAAATTTTTGAATGTTAATATAGACAGCGCGTCCCCATTTAGCTACATTCACAATTGTTGCAAAATTGTCATCCATCACAATCACATCAGCACTTTCCTTTGCAACCTGACGAGAATAAATTTGACAATGATAAGAAACAATAGAAAGGGATTGGACTACAAAAGAAGACGTGCAATTTGACTCATATCACTTTCAAAACAGAGAGTGAATGAACATCTGCTATATATGAGGTTTGGAATTACTTATTATTATTTCAACTTATTTTCCATTTTACCTTACCGTCTTTCAAATTTTCTTGGAGGCCAGCAAAGAAAACTCTAAAGAACTCAGTTGGGTATAAAATTTCATATACTCAGACACAAGCAATGTAGTTTAACATACAAAATAGCAAATTAACACAGAATTCAATTCGTTGGATCAATTACAAAGACTTCGATGTGTTTTTTGACTTTTCATACTAAGCTGGAGTTGTATTGCCTTGTGACATCTTTAGAAAATTATGGACCATGCAAAGGAAAAAGTCTACATTAGAGCTAATATTCAAAATGAAGCCTGTATGAGATACCACAAATGCACCCTGTACGTAAATGATGTCGTATGTGAAATAGGAAATTCTTGATGTAATGCTCTCGGTAGGATTTCAAGAACATCATGTGACAGTTAAATGCCTGATGTCATGGTCAATATGTATTTACTTGAAAGCCAAGTTAAAAAGGTATTGACAAACCTCTGTTCCAGCTATACCCATAGCAAGTCCTATGTCTGCCTCATGCAGAGCGGGAGCATCATTAGTCCCGTCACCAGTAACTGCCACAACCTCTCTAAACATGCCTCTCAAATTCTTTACTAGCACGTGTTTGTCTGTTGGAGATGATCGAGCCATAACCTAAATAACAAATAAATTATCAAAGAATATCAGCAATCTACACTATATGTGTATCTACTCATAAAAGCTATTGATAGCAGACCTGAATTCTAGGAATTATTCGCCTCATCTCATCAGGAGATTTGCGGCGGAATTCTGGACCCTCAATAGCAATCCCGTCATCAGTAAGTATGCCACACTCTTTAGCTATGGCTTTAGCAGTGTTGATATTATCACCAGTAACCATTCGCACCATAATTCCTGCTTTTAAGCATGTTTTCACTGCATCCTCAACCCCTGGGCGAACAGGATCCTTAATTCCAACAATTGCAATTAATGTATAGCCACTATCAGGAATGCCGTTTTCAGTATAACCGTTGCTGATGTCCTTGAAAGCCAAAGAAAGCGTACGCAAAGCTTCACAGGCAAATCCATTGATGACATCCATAACAGCGCCTGCTATCTCTTCGGTCAAATCAATTGGTTCACCATTGCCATCAATAATCTTGTCACACATTTTTAGTACTATTTCAGATGCACCTTTACAAAATGCTCGTGTGTTGCCACCTGGAAGGGCCACCAACACAGACATCTTTTTCCTTTCTGAATTGAAAGGTTCAACTTTCAAGAACTTGGAATCTCGCCGTTGATCATCAAAATCACCACCCATGCGCACTCCATATTCTAATATTGCTGACTCCGTGGGCGTACCCAAGATAGATTTCTTTTTATTTTTATCGGTTACTACTTCAGCACTTGTATTATAAAATATTGCCTGCAAAAGAACAGTTAATGCATGCCCAGATATCCCTGAGTTGATAGCAGCTATCTGTCCGTTTGTTTGTATCTCTTTATCTTTACCAAATGTCCACATCTTATTAACAACCATATGGTTTGTTGTTAACGTGCCAGTTTTATCAGTGCAAATGCAAGTAGCAGAACCCATTGTTTCACATGCAGAAAGATGTCTCACTAGCGCCCTGTCATCCATCAACTTCTTCATTGCAAATGCAAGACTCAACGTTACAGCTAGGGGTAGCCCTTCTGGAACTGCAACAACAATAATAGTTACTGCTGTTGCGAAATAATTTAAAAGTGTCAGGGCATCACTAGAGTACCATTTCGTGAATTCGTGGTGAATTCCTTTCTCCACCAGAAATCTGACCAGCAACACCAAAAAAGTTACCACCGCAAATCCGAGTCCAATTTTACCTATAATTGTGGCAACACCATTCAACTTCACCTGTAATGGGGTCTCATCTTCTCCACCTTCATTCAAAGTTTCCATCAACTTACCCCACTCAGTTCTCATGCCAACAGTAGTCACAAGCATCTTTCCTGACCCATCTTGTACTTTGGTTCCCGCCAAAAGAAAAGGTTTTTTTCCATGTACGTTTATAGGTACACTCTCACCAGACAAGCTTGACTGATCAATCAACAAGCTATATCCTGACACAAAAACTCCATCAGCTGGAACTTGGTCTCCAATGGATAAATGAGCAACATCACCAACAACCAAGTCATAAATGGAAACTTTCTGCCTAGATCCATCTCTAGTTACCTGAATAAATATCTTTTTCTTTTCTCTGTCCAAATCTTTGAACTGCAAAGATTGCTTGTAGTCACTCATAGCCGTGACAATAACAACTAAAAAGATACTAAGTATAATTCCTAGACCATCATACATGCCTTTTGGCCACCCCTCGGTCGCAAGTCCAACACCTATGGAGACCACAGCACAAACCATAAGGATGACAAGTGTTAAGTCATGCAAAGCCTCCCACACGAACAGCCAAAAGCTTTTCGAAGGTTTCTCAGTGTAAGTGTTGGGCCCATATACCTTTTGTCTGAGAGGAATGTCATTTGATTTCACGCCTTCACTCAAAGACACATTTAATCTTATTGCAAGTCCTTCAACTCCTTTTAGTTTTCTCAAGGTCTTGATCTCAAATGCACCAACAATTGTTGCAAGTACATCAGGGTGAATTTGAAATCCTGCAACTCTAGCCTCTTCTGATAGGTTCTTTTGGAGTTCTACTTCTAGATCTTCATCAACGGTGTCTTCCTCTCTCTTTGGAGGTAACTTGTCTTTTGCATGTTCAACAGCTGCACAAAAACGAAAACAGTTTCACGAGTCAAAAGCAACATAAAGATAATCAACTTGGACCATCTTGAAGTTAAATTAAGTCAAACAATAATTTGAGCAGAATAGTACCATCAATAAATTTGAGTGCTGCCATATAAGCCACAAAACCAATCCGTATCTTTTCCTGGAGAGGTGGTACACAAGGCACTTGATTAAGTACTAAAAATGAAGACAGAAATCATAAGCTAATGTAAGAGACTAGAAACTTTTCAAGAACATTCTGCTGCTGAACTCAATATTTTTTGAAGAGAAAAAGTTTGGCCAAAAAAAAAAAGAGCAGCAAGCCCAAGTACGGCTTTTCTCGATTGATGAAAACACTTCATAATTTCGTGAACAAGGCTTTACCAAAATTCTACATTGGCTGCTAGAAGTGAATACTTTGGTTAATTAACCAAAAGCATCAGGTTACGGACATGAAGAGTTCCAAGTAAACAAGAAATCCAAATCCTGGGTGGAGTAAATCCTTAATAGTTGGTAACATACTGGTTCCAAATTCCAGAGTAGAGAATATCCTCAGACCAAAGGATTTTTTTTCTTAACC